CACACACACACTGGACATGCAATTCCTAGAAAAAAGTGTCTGGTATTTTATAACGATACGAAATGTCAGCGATAGGTCAGGTACACTTTGGTGTTTCTTGTTTACTTTTATCCGTGCAATGTGCAAATGTAAACCAAAAGTAAAGAGTGCACACATTTTTTAAAAGTGGAAAAGGAAACCAATAGCTCAATTCTGGAGTATTTTAGTACGATAATTCAAATAGCGACCAAAACCTTTAGGATATCATACTAGAAGTTAAAAAAGTTACACACTTTGTATATAATAAAAAAAAATCTCCTTTCCCCTTTCCGCATTTAAGCAATTTATTAGAAGCTTAGTCTTTACAACGAAACGTCCCGGATAGTTTGCTCTTATATGGGTGCATTTGTCGTCTTTGCAATTGCTAGCGGTACAGCAACCGTTGTTTCTCTCTGACGTTTTCTCTTTTATCTTAACTCATTGAAAAAGCCACACTCTTAACTTATCTAAAGTAACACAATGCGGGTCGGGAGTGTCGAAGTTTACTTTAAATCTCTTGCAGTTTTCTGAAAACCATGTAACGCCGTTATTAACACAATTTAAATCATCTAAGACACCACCCGTCAGAGCCAGCCCGAACGGCCTCTAAACAAAAAATCGGAGATGCTCCTTACCAAATATAATTCCCCACCTGAAAATAGAATTCCCTTCTCTTAAGGCGTAGATTTGTACCATAATCATAACACCACAGACGCAGGCCGGTTCTCTATAACACTTGAGAAAGAGTAAGACTGGCCTGTCTTACCTGTTCAGTGGACTACAGGAATAAAAGCACCCTGGGCGAGAGAGGCTTCCTTATCACGTGGAGATAACTGCTCTGGTCAGATTGGAAAGGAGCTTGCATTATATTATGGTGCCCTGGTTTTTTTCTGCCCGGAGACTGTTATACGGGGTGCCCACTACGAATAGGATCGGCGGATCGGGCCGATCGCCCGACTCGGGCGTCTCAAAAACATACGCGTTTGTTTTCAGTTTCAGGCGACCGAGTTGGGCGATCGGCCCGATCCAGTCGTAATGGGCACCCCGTATTAGCAACGCTCTTCTGGAAAGGGGTCCAAGATCTGGCTTAGCCGAGCCGCAGCATTTGGAAAACGACAGAAAGCACGGAAAGCCTTGCGAGGTAAGTTATCTAATTTAAAGGACCTGTCCGACCATTTTAGATAAAGGCACAAATGACCAATTCATTTAAAAGGAAATCTCGAAATGTTAAACATAAATAATAATCTTCATTCACCATTCGGGGTAGATCTAATATTCTTTTCAGAGTTGTAGTGGTAGCATCATATCTTCTGGCATTTCCCCCGGTTTTTCTACCATTCTAGTTTTAGAGGCAGGTAAAATTAATGTATTCTCAGCACTGTTCTCCCACTTTTTTACAATATTTGTCCAGTACAGTAAACGCATTAATGCCTTTCATGGTTTGATTGATATCTGTTGCAAAATTGACAAAATCATTTTTCCCCTTCCCGATATCATGTGTGTCAGCCTCCTTCCCGTTCCAGTAAAGTTTTAAAATTTCACACGTCTACACTTTTTTTGGGTCCATAATCTTTAATGTGGAAACATCGATGAGTGAACAAATAAAATAAGTATGAATTTACTAGGGTTAAAGTTGGGCACCAAATCGGCTTTTCAGTGTTATTCGGCCGCAAAATCGCGAGATCGCCACGACCTATGTCTTTTCAAAACGACAGTACTCCGGTCGTACAGAATCGATTATAATATAGTTAAATTCAATAACAAACACTTCGATTGAGGTTTCTTTCGGTATATTTTTACTGATTTGAGTTTAAATCAAAGTGCATAAAAATCGTAATAAAAAACTCTGAAAGGCTTTTTCGAACGGATTTTGTTAACATATTCAAAGTAAAAGTATATGGCTAAAAAGCTCATTCATTTTTCTCTAAGAATATGTAAAAAGTATTAGGACCGATATCCGATGATGAAAGCACCGATGTTTGGAAACGTTCCTTGACCGAACAGAAACGAAACGAGAATCTGCAGGCGAGCCTCACACTGGTGCACCGCCCGTAAGCACATGGTAGCCTAGCTTATATAATCATATTCTGCCCCTTTTCTTGAATACGTTAAATTGATGGATCACGTGAAGTTCATTGATGAGTATATTGATTATTTTTATGCATTTTAAGGGAAATAAATGTTTATTTAAATTTTTATTTTACAAGTTAAAGTGCCCTATTCAGATTTGGGAACCCATTCCTACGCTGAATTAACACGACGAGGATACAGGGCAACTTTATAATACTCGCTATTTTTTGTATTGGTTAATGAGTGAAACCCCCCCTTTATTTTAACAAGATACAGAGACCCGTTCTACGAACGGTGACATAGTGATACGAAATCCCAAGATATAAAGTTTGACACAGCGGAGCACACATCCAAACAGAGAAAGATAACGAGATTCTAGATCTGAAAACAGTGGAAGCGGCTTTGTAAACACGAAATAGAACTCTGTGACATACACACGACAAAGCACAAACCGCACTTCTGCTCTTTCTAACTACTTCAGATCAGACTTGAATTCTTAACTGAATCATATTTTTGTAGATTTTATGGGCACCTGTGTAAAAAATTAAATGTATACTGACCTCTCAAACGGGCTTAGCTCCATTATAATAAGATGATGAAATCAATGCTTGTGTCGTGTGCGTCGTTTTATTCTGTCATCAGAAATAATGTTGAAATGTGCTCTCAAACAAAGCAACCTTTGCGGATTCAAAGTGTCTTATGGTGACAGATATTTTCTGTGAAACGAGTGAGGTCGATTGACGCGGGGATAATAGTAACGGGGAACAGGTTCCTAGTAAACCTAAAGTTAGTTTAATCAAAGTGTGCTGAAATTAATAATGTTGTAGTCATAAATCTATTATCTTTCCATGGCAACCTACTTCTGTTCATACATTTAGATACGCTATACTGGGTGAAAATGGTACTCGGCGGGTAAAAGCGGCAAAAAGAGGAGAATTTAACTTGTTTGTATCTCGCTTCCCGTTCCAGTAAACTTTAAAATTTTCCTATGTTTACACACTTTTGTCTCGAATCTTAATCTTTAAGGTGAAAACATCGGAACAGCGAACAAATAAAAGTTTGAAGTAAGTTTGGCACCGAATCGGCTTTTTAATGTTTTTCAGACAAAATCGTGGCATCTAAACCACCCATGCGTTTGCAAAACGTTGATTCTCCGCTCGTACGAGATCGATTACAAAGTAGTTCATCATCAATGCCTTTCACCCCTGGCAGGGTATAGGCCACAAGCAAGCTCCTTCCATTTATCTCTGTCCTGAGCCATTCTTCCAAGCTCGTTCCAAGTGAGCTTCATTTCTCTCATGTCCCTTTCCACGCATCTCCTCCATGTTTCCCGTGGCCTACCCCTGCCTCGTGCTCCTTGTGGGTTCCACTGCAGTGACTGTCTTGTGATGTTTCCGCTGGGCTTTCTTAAGGTGTGTCCCATCCATCGCCACTTTCTTAGTCCTATTTCTACTTCTATATCCTTTTGTCCTGTCCTTTCCCACAGTTCTTCATTTCTTATTCTATCCTGCCACTTAATTCTTAGAATACTCCTCATACATCTGTTGATGAAGTAGTTAAGTCCATTTAAAAGTAATTACATTGTTGTTTCTTTTTATTTATTTTTAGAGGTCTAATTTAACCACAAAAGCATAAAAAACCTAACTAAAAACGTTATAAGGGTTTTTTAAACGGATTTTATTGAAACGATCGAGTGAAAAAATGTAATGCCGTAAAGCTCATCCATTTTTCTATATAAGAACATGTGAACAGTGTTAGGACCAATATTATGCACCGATGAAAGCGTCGTTTAGAAACTATCCTTGACCGAGAAAAAGCGAGACGCGAATCGGCAGGCGAGCGTTTTGCGGTGCCTCGCCCTTAAGCACGGACATGGTAGCTTAGCTTAAATAACATTTACCTAAATATGTTAATACAGTGGACCTTGGATCAACAAGATCAGATTCAGCAACGGACCTCTGAACTTCGGATCAAACTAGGTCGGAAAATTCAAACCGCGGCCGTAAAGAGATAATTTAAATTGTTCAAGATTGCTCAGTCACTTTGCTGATCAAACACAGGCCCACGTAATGTAGCCATCTGACATTCAATCACTCCTTATCATAGTACTTGAGGCGGCCCTAGCTCCTCGTGCAGTGAATGTCCTTAGGGTAGCAGGCAAGGAGTTTAGAACTAACTTTTAATCTCCTTGGTAGTAGGACAGGGACTGAGGGGTAGGGCCTTGTGTGTGAGAGAGAGAGAGAGAGGAGGGTGAATGATTTGCTAGCACATTCTTTGATGCTGACACACGTTGTACCGAAAAGCTACACAAGGCACCCTCAGCAAAGGGGATCACC